AAATTTAGAAGCACTCCTTCTACGTAAAAAATAGAACTTGACTGACACGGGTGACATATGAAATGTATTTACAATAATATCAAATATTTATTTCTCAATTTAAAATTTAAAAAGTTATTTTGCATAATGGTATATTGTATAAGCTAACAGCATGAYTTATAAGCTAATAATTATATCGTATAACATAGACACCATTTTTAGAATTACAATTTCATATACAGCTTGAATATAATAGTTACCTTTTCATTTATTAGAAGTTTAGCACCAGCGCTTAAAACTACCCTATCACACCAAGCTGGGCACCTTGTTTGCATATAATTCATTCCTTCATGTTCATTTTCTTCAAATGGATAACTTGGTTGAAAATTTATRGGAAATTCAAATAATTGATCTTCGAATGATTTTAATTCATGATCAAAATCTTTTAACTAGAAACAAATAAAAATAATATWTAATTGATATTAAAATAAAAAATTAGTTTAGYGCTGTGTGTAAGTGTGTCTCAAATTTAATATTATTTAACTTAAACTTAATTAAAAAAACATACATAGTTAATATTAAATTAATTTAAAGCTTATCATTTTTTTCTTCCTATTTGAACCAAAACATGATGGGCAATAGGTGATCAAGCATTACTTCCACTCAACCCAACCATTTTATACTAAATGGTATACTTATCAGTTATCGCTTTAGATTAATACTTATATATACATATTATATACTTCAATTTGTGAAAAAATAAATTACCCATGATCCACTTTTTGACATAAAAGTATTTTGATGGTCCAGATGTCGAAATTCTTTTTTCCTCAAAGTAAAAATAACCTAAAAACATATATACAWCAAAATTACAATYAAAATTTTATGTAATATTTAAATTCATATTACATATATTTTCCATATATGTAATTTAATTATAAAGTCGACACTTACTTCATTTGAATCGTCTGTATACTGAAAAACTAAGTTATCTTTATCAACATCATCTTTTACCACGTCCAATCCCTCAACTATTTTCTGTAAAATAAAATGTTATACTTAAATTAACAATTTAAAATATATGCATAAGAGTTGTYTATTTTTCAATAAAGAATTTTACCATTATAACAGCTTTAGTGTCCGTGCGAAAATTAAAATCTCCAAATAAAAAAAATGGAGCAAATCCAGAATCATAATTACGAAACCTAAAATCATAAATTCATTAACAATAATATAAAAATAATCATTTATTTATAAATCAAGTATTACATAGTCTACGRTGAAAATAAAAAGGTAGAAAGTAAATAATCTCTCTGCTGTACAGTAGGAGTCAGTTGAGTGTATCTCGGCATTGAAAAGGCACCATAATTGATAAGATTTAATTTAAAGATAAATSACTATAAAAAATGCAAAACAATTCTGAGCCGTCTTACTTTTTAGTAACCAAACAACTATTTTATTATTAAATTAAAATTTTAACAAATTTTATCGCGGTACCGCATACCGAAACTATTTTAACCTCCCAAAAGTACTAATCGATTGAATTTTAGAAGAAGTCTCCATCAAAGTTGATGATCAGATCAGAGTATTTTTTCTACTATAAAGTGTTTGGACACAATTTTTTTTAAATTTTTGTAAAATCAGCTCATTTATTGTGATGCTTAGAACCTAAAATATAAATTTGATTACCTAAAAAATAATAATATTCACATTTTGATACATTGATGGATGACTGTTCACACAAACACTATACATTTCTTATGATTTGCTCATTAATGTGACTAATTTATATTAAAATATAAACCTACCCTTAACATATATATTACATGTGCCTCTTAGGTATAAAACGTATATCATGAAGAAAAAAAAAACTATTCACTTTTATTTTATAATAAATGTACTTACCGTTCYAACGTGTATTCAAGTGCTTTTTGTCTCATGACAGAATACACAGAAGAGTGCTGAAAATTAAAATATAATTACTAACGATAAAGACGAGAAAATATTTATCTATACAGGATCATAATAAAAAATGCTAAGCCAGCTATATGTTATGCAGTCAATGGAAGTTGAATAATATCATAAATAAATACTGTTCAATATTCATAGTATTTTATACATAAACAGTTTTTGTTTAATTGTTATATTAGACAAATTACTGAATGAAATATGTTTTTAATATATTATTAMAACTCAAGCAAAATTAACTTACAGATTGCATCGCAGTAAAATTTGAAGCATCGTGAAACAAATGAATATTTATGAGATCAAATACAGTACCATTTATCTTCCATCTAGTTCTTAAAAATCCTTTGCGAGACCATTTACACTAAAAATTAATGAAAAATAATAAAAGATTTAAACAATTCTACAAACTTTATTTTTAGACATGACACTAACTTCTGGAAAAAATTCTTGAGGAAATTTTGACTTTTCTTTTGTGGAAACATGTTCTATATTCCCAGAGTATGTGGTTTTTTCAGTGACAGGTAAAAACTCTTGTTCTAGAGTTTTTAAACATTTTATAGTACAAAAATAATGTTATGTAAATTAATTGTCAAATTAATATTTATTTTCCCACAGTATTTTAACAAATACATTTACTTACCATTAAAATCCCATAAAGATGCTTCTTTTATCGCTTCGTGTATAAAATAAAAGTTTCCTAAAGCCTAAAAAATAAT